GGGGGTGTCTGGGTGCTGCCTCTGGGAGGTGAGAGCCCTCCCGGGAGCAGCAGCGGCTGAGGTGCAGCAGCGGGCAACCAAGCTTCAGCTGTGTCCAGCCTGACTCTGCTTTTGGGGTTTTGTTTTTGGGCTGATTCTCCTGCCGTTGCCTGTCTGGCTTAGCGCAGCACAGCTGTCCCCCAGGGAGGCTGCAGAGAGCTCGTGGTGGCTTTCGAGGGGTGACACGTCAACGCACGGAGCGGCTGCCAGGGCAATGACATTCCCTCCTGCTGTCCAGTTAGGGAGCACGGGTTGTGACCAGCAGCCCTAAAGACTCACAGGATGGGGGCTGTGTTTCTGAATCCTGTGCTGTGTGATCCAGAGCAGGCCCTGCTGCTCTGTTTCTTCATTAGTGAGCAGACCCCGTGAGGGTCCCACCGTGGCTCGTGGTTGGGAACGTGGTGATTTTGGAGCCAGCTCTGTTGGCAAGGGTTGGGCTTGTGTTCTGCCCCCGGGCACTGCCTGGCTCCACATGCAGTGTGGCACCAGTGTCCTTTCATCCACCAGGACTTTTCACTCCCAGAGAGGCTGTTTCATGAGCAGCAAAGTGACCTCTGCTTTGCTGGTGGCTCGGGTTGAATTCTGCAAGCCCAGCAGGGGGGAGTTTTGGGGAGGGAGTGGTGTGAGGTGATGGATCCGTGCACCCAACGAGCAGCAGTGTGCTGTGACACGGCTCCAGCCGTGGTGCTGGCTGCCCCGCACCCACCCCCCCCCGTCCCCCCCCCCAGCCTCTCTGCACTGCTCCTTTGCACTGTGTGGCCACGTCCTGAGGTTTTTACAAAGTCCTGCTGGCTGTGTGGGTGGAGAGAGGAGGAGGGAGCACCTGACTCCTCTGGCTGGTGCAGTCCCAGTGGCCCTGCTGCAGATCCTGGAGGGCAGGGCTGCACGGCTGGTGGCTGCTGCAGGCAGGAGGCCCCGTGTGCTTGTGCTTGCTGCCCTGCAGACCTTGCTCTGCAGCTGCTGAGGGAGCAGAGCTGTGCCCGACCTTCCCCGGGTGCAGTGCATGCTGTGCTGGGTGACTGGGGACCTCCCTGGCTCTGAATGTGCCACTTTGCCATGAGGGGAGGCTTTGAGCTGGCTTCTCTTCACCATCTTAAACAGCAGTGTGCTTTTCCTTTTCCTTGTGTGCATTTTTTTAGTTTTGCTGTGGCTGGCCATTTGCCTGACAGGTTTTTTGAGAGTTTACTGGAAAAAGCACATTTGGCTTTGTACTACAGTCCTGGGGGCTCTGGAGCCTGGGCAGGGTTGCTCTGGGTGTTGGTGGTGAGCAGAGCTGCCTGTGTCTCAGGTCTCTGCCATCCTACCTGCACAAGGTGTAAGTTTTTTCTTCTGCCCCCACAAAACACTGCTCGTAGGGATTTTAGAAGGAACCCTTCAGTTTACTGAAAACTGGTTAAATTGTTTGCTTGGTTTTTTTAATCCAGCTCTTACAAGTTGGTTTTGTTGGTTTGTTTTTTTTTCCTCTGTCAGACAACATGTTTATTGTCACTGAAAGAGTAAGAGCAGCTGATTTGGGGACAGTTCATTGCTCTCTGCAGGGGACAGTGGCTGGGTGCTGTTGGGGGTTTTGTAGGACGTGAGGCTGCTCTGAGAACAATTGCAGCAGGAGCAGAAGGGGCTGATCCCACGGGTTTGATTTTAGGGTGGCTGGATGATGGGTCTGGAGCCCCCTCTGTGCTCAGATTTCAGCCCCCCAGCCCCGGGGAGCAAAGGCTCCTGGGGTGCACACACCAGGAGCCAGCCAGGCCCAGTGTTTCTGCATTGTCTGAGCTCTTTTGTTGTGGCTGGATCACTGAGTACTGCCCTGGCAAAGCCCAGTCTAGCAGATCTGGGTCCTGATTTGCAGGATTGGTTGATGTGAACTTTGGGAATGATGCTGGAGGCACGTGTTGGCCTTGGTGGTTCTGATGCTGAAGAATCAAGGGTAGTGAGTAGTGAGGAGCTCCTTCACAGCAGCAGGCTGGGGACATCTCAGATGGAGGGTGAGTCTCCCTCTCACAAGGCAGGCTTTCTCCTGAGGCTGTTTTTTACCTGATTGACCTCTGGTTTATCCTTGTGTAGGCTGTAAAGCCTCTCAGGCTGCACAGGGGAAGGAGCAGGGACTAGCTTCACCTTTGTGAGGTCTGTGCAAGGGTCACTCCAGCGTAGCTGCCTTTATACAACCCAAATGGAGAAAGCAAACCCTAAAGGGAAACAGCTTCATCAGTCCAAAAATCTGTGTTTGGGAGAGGGACTGGAGGGTGAAGTGGTTCCCCTGTGGCACCAAGGCTTGGCCAGCCTCTCTGCCACGTTAGGAGTCTGCAGCAGAGCTGCTGCCGTTGGGGTTGGTCTGTGCTGCCCCTTCCAGCTCCTCACAGAGGAGTTAAGGGAACTGCAGGCAGGCAGCTGCATCCCTGGCAGCCTTTGCTTTTTCTCTCTATAACTGTAGAGGGAGTTTGAGCCCTGCCCAGTGCAGAGCTCAGGCCTCCTCTCCCAGTCCCTGCTGGACACAGCTCTCCAGCCTGCTGCCCAGTTTGATCAAGCTGCTGAAGCAGGAGGCCACGTGTATCCATCCTGGAGAGGGGCCACGCTCCCCAGCATGGGAGATGGGGCTGAACAGGCATTTTTTGCTCAGCACCATCCTTCCTCCAGCTCTGCAGGAGCTGAGTCTCAGAGCACTGGTGCTCTCCAGCGTGTTCACTGCCCAGCAAGTTCCCTGTTTCCTTCAGTGAAAGAAAACGGGGTGAACTGGCTTTTTTTTTGCTGGTATTTCTGGCCTGGAAACTGGCTGCCTTGTTAGCCAGACGTATCCAGCCTCTAGCAACAACCTGCCCACCTCCATCTTCAGTTTCCAACCCGTGAGTGGACAAATCTCTGCAGCGAGGCAGAGGTTCTCCCCTGCTCGTGGTGCTGAGGGCAGGTTCCTGGTGTTGGTGATATGGTCAATGGTCCAGATGGTCATGTTGTTTCTCACGCTCTTTTCTGGCTACCAAAGGTGCAGATTATTAATAAGAAGCTGGACTTTAGCAGCGTTCAATCCAAGTGTGGCTCAAAGGATAATATCAAACACATCCCAGGAGGAGGCAGTGTGAGTACCTTCACACTTTCAATGCACTATAACAGTTCTTATGATAAGTGGCATGTTGTATACACTAAACTGCCAATGCTATCTGCAGCGACCCTGCCACCAGATAGCAATTGGTGACGTGCAATGACTCTTTTCTGGCTACCAAAGGTGCAGATTATTAATAAGAAGCTGGACTTTAGCAGCGTTCAATCCAGGTGTGGCTCAAAGGATAATATCAAACACATCCCAGGAGGAGGCAGTGTGAGTACCTTCACACTTTGAATGCACTCTAATAATCCTGATCGTTAGTGGCATGTTGTATATGCTAAGCCACCAATGCTATTGCAGCATCCCTGCTGTGGATAGTGATTGGTGACGTGCTGTCATTTAACCCCATTAACCCAAAAGACATGGTTAGATGGATCCTAACGAGTCCTGTCCATGCCTGGCATGGACAGAACTAACTGACCCGTGTAGAAGCCATGTCTGTAACAAAACATCCCCTTAACTCAAAGGTTTTACACGACCTGGAAGGCTCAATGCCTCACTGTCTGCAGGCTGGGGGGCCTCTGGCAGACAGTGACGTGGTTGCTGATGCAGTAGCTGGGTAGATTTGTGAGCAGATGTAGTCCTTGTTGCTTAATGTCCTGCCAAACTGCACGTGACTCCACCCAGCACGTGGGAGTGCAGGGTCCTGCCCGAGCCCGTCAGGCAAGTACCACCCCTGCAAATAGCCAAGCTTCTTGTTGCTAGTGAATGTGTCCAGCAGTGCCCAGGGAGGCTGAGCCTCAAGTCACACTGAGTTTTAAAGCTGGTCTTTCCAGCTCCTCCCAGACAAACAGCCAGGCTCAGCTTTCAGCTACTGTGCCAGAAACCTGGAGAAACTCCCCAGAGGTTGGTGGATTTAAACCAAGTCTCTCTGGAGACAGAGTTTGGGTCCAGGAAGGATGATGGACCAAGGAATGCACATCGCTGAGACCCCAGACAGTGTGACTCAGGGTCTGTGGTTGCCCATCTGAGGAAGCTGTCTGGTGCCTCTCAGATGTTCCTGGTAGATTTTCTCTGGGCTGTTTTTGAGCTCTTGGGATGCCCTCCCTGAGAAACCGAGTGTGGCAGAGGGCTTGGCACGAGAGCACTGGGGCAGAAGTGGGTTTGCAACCTCTGTCTTCAAGTTGATGTTATTCTGCATGTATTCAAGGGGCCAGAGGATCTGCTTGGTGGGGGTCAGACCTCTCTGAAGCAGGTTCTGTGCTGGTTCTGCTCTTCCTTATCCCAGAGTCCCACACTGGCTGGGCTGCCCCCTGTGTGGAGTTAGTGTTGGTCAGGAGTCGTCCGTGCTGTGGCTGGTAATTAGCTGCAGCACACCCTTCTCTCATCCTTGTCTTGTGAGCTCATCCTGAAGATCACTGCAGCTGCAGTGGGTTAGGAATTACCTGGATTTTGGGCTGGAGGTTGTCTCATCCCTCCCCAGGCTCTGCCAGCAGTGAAAAGGGTGTGATGGTGCCTGGCTGTGTGCTGTGTGCTGGCGTGGCCGGGGCAGGGCTGTCCTGGGGCAGAGCTGGGCCTTGGGGCTCCTCAGAGAGAGGGGCAGCAAGAGCCCACCAGCCTCGGGGGGCCATCCCAGCTCAGCCCTCCCTGGCACTGGGGGCAGGGACTGCCCACCCAGCCACTGCTGCTCCAGGGGAGTGAGCTGCCCCTGCAGTAACCCTCGGGGCTGTAAGCCACTGGGTGCCCTGGAGAGGTGATGCCTCAGGCTAAAGTTGACCTGAGTGGTGCTGATGCTGAGAGGTGGGATCCCCAGGTCTCTGGCACTGGTTTCCCAGGCAAGCAACTCTGTGGCCTTTTTCCTTTCTTGCTGAAGTGGGGAGGACCCTTCTGTGCTCCCCAGCAGGATGGTAAAGGTTACTGGAGTCCTGTCTGTGAAAGAAGGGAGCTGGCACGAGAGCAGAAGGTGTTTCAGTTGCTGACCACTGGAAATGGGAGGTCTTTCAGCCCCAGGTCCCAGTGGTGCCCAAATTGCTCATGGGCCCTTTGGGGCCACAGCTGGGATCAGAAAGGCTCCAGCTCTCCTTTTTGGGGTCTGTTTCCTGCCTCCTGACCGAGTCGAGGTCTCCTCCTGCCCAGTGCCTCACACGTGTGACCCTTCCCCGGCGCTGTCTGCGTGTCTGTGTCTGCCATGTGCTCCCACACCCCGGGGCTGCTTCTCTCCCCTCTCTCTGTCTCCACTCTCTGTCAGACGTGCCTTTTGGTGGGCACTGGAGACAGGGCAGGTCCGTGTGAGCCCGGGGAGCGTGGCCCCCAGCCTCTGCTCCCTGCTGCTTCTCCCGGCTGTGTGATGGAGACAGGAGCATTTCCCAGTGCTGTGCACAGCCAGGGCCCAGCACCAGCCTCTGGTGGGGACGCTGGACGTGGGGCCAAGGTGGGAGCTGCAGGATTGCACCTCACCCCCGGGGCTGCAGAGGCTGCACGGGGTGCTCGGGGGCGGTGGAGGGCGGTGGCTGAGGGGAATCCTTCGTGCTGGCCCGGGGGCTGCCTGGCTGCTGGGAGCCAGCTCCTCTGCAAAGGGCCCTCGGTGCTGTGCATCCTTCCCGAGGTTCCTGCGAGCAGCACGCCCACCGTGGTGCTCAGTGAAAACACAGAGCACGGCTCACGCTGCCCCTGAGATCCAGAGAACCAAACACCTCCTGAAGATCAGACTCCTCCCACCCCGCCGGCTGCAGCAGCAGCAGCCCGTCCACACGCACCGGGTCCAAAACCAGGGGCCGAGGGAGCTGCTGGGGCTCCGGGGCTGTGTTCTCACCCCCTTGTCTCCTGCTCCTGCCGTAGCTGCTGTGTGTGTGTGCTGTGGTTTGGACTGTGGCACCCCCAGGCCCCTCCAGCCGTTGGGTGTTTTCCAGCGTGGTGTTTAACCTCTAACGTTACCACTAAACAGCTCCACGTTAACTGCTCCTCCTGTGTGCGTCCCGTGTCACCCCCTTGTCCTTGCACAAGAGTCTGGTGGCCCTGGGGTGACCCAGGGGGGTCCCAGGGGGGTCCCAGTGCTGGGGCCAGGCTGCCTCTGGGGCAGTTTTGGTGGAATTGTGTCCAGAGACTGAACCAGAACAAATAAAAACCAGAGCAGAGCACCATGAAAGCCTGTTGTGGTTCAGTAGATTATAATTGCCATTTTAATTTCTATTACATGAACTCCTGGCAGATATTTAAGACTTTGCTTTGCCTTTTTTACTTTTTTTTTTTTTTTAACCCTTATTTCCATTACAGCATTTTTTTTTTCTCAGAAATGCATATTTTGGTCACTCTTTTAAAAGTTCTGTGCACATTGATCATTTCTGTTCTTTCAGTTTTTGTGGACATAAGCTTTATGTTTTACACCAGAAAAGGTATTTATTTTTACATTTTCTCTCTGGTATATCTCCTCCTTTTGGATGATGTGTATGCAAATCTTAATTAATTACCACTCCACTTTCTCTCTCACTTAAGCACTTTAAAATTGCCTCTACTCCCCCCCCTCTGTGGAGAGGTGATCTTGTGCATGCTGACATGTTAAGAGAGGCTACTGCACACGGGCATTAATGATCTCCCATTTCTGATGACAGTTTCTTTGGCATTATTAATCTTACTGGGGCTCAGACTGTCCTTTCCCTCGAATCCACATCAGGTGCCGGTGTGTGTTGTGCCTCCCCCTCCCCAGGCTGCCCGTGGTGGCAAGACCCTCATTGCCTTCTCCTTTCTCCTATGGACAGGTCCAAATTGTTTACAAGCCAGTCGACCTGAGCCACGTGACATCCAAATGTGGTTCCCTGGGCAACATCCATCACAAACCAGGTATGGCAGGGCTGGTGCTGGTCCCTGGCAGG